TTAAGAAAGAAGAACACGATCTTAAGACTCACACTTCTTGATTTCAAAAGTTATTACAAAGCTACACTAATCAAAACTATGTGGACCTGGCATAAAGACAGACATATAGACCAATGTAACAGAATAGAGAACCCAGGAATAAATCCTTGCATTTATGGTCAAATGATTTTCAACAAGGGTGCCAAGACCATTGATGGGGAAGGTCAGTTTTATCAACAAATGGTCCTGGCAAAACTAGGAAGCCACATTCAGAAAGAATGAAGTTGGATCCTTACCACATACACCTTATGCAAAACTAATTGAAAGGAGATCAAAGACCTAGGCATCAGAACTAAAACTTAGGAGAGGAAAAGTGTCATAGCACTGAGTTTGGCAATGATTTCTTGGTTATGACACCAAAGGAGCAGGGAACAACAAAAAAATAGACAAATTGGACTTCATCAAAATTTAAAACTCATACAGCAAAGGACATTATCAACAGTAAAAAGGCAATACACAGAAAATATTTGGAAATCACATCTGATAAAGAATTAATATCCAGACTATATATAGAGAACTCCTAAAATCCAACAACAAAAATCAATCTGATTCAAAAATGGGCAAAGAACCAGAGTAGACATTTCTCCAAACAAGATGGAGTCTGGCATATGACCATGGGAGCCAAATGGGTAAGGCAGAAGTGAAGGATGAGAACACTTAAGTCAGAAGTCTAGAACTGAAGTGTTCGAGTGTTGGGTTAATTGCAGGACACTGAAACGGTCAATTATGACAGGACACATGATGCAGAGTGAGCCAGAGGTGCATGGAGGGTGGAGATGGCGCTGACTAGGAGGCCAGTAAACAACTGCACCCTGATAGGGTTGTGGGGTTACATGTTAGTTAAGGCGCAGTCCCCAGTAATGTAGTGGGTACTCAAGTATCAGCTGTCACATTTCTACTCTTATTCTTGAGCTATAATACTAGAAACTATACTCTAGACTTCTAAGTGTATTTTTTATTTGATGAATAACATTTCTGATGCACTTCTAATATAAGAATCTTAAGATTAGAACTTGAAAGAAAAATTCAGTCTAGGCTATTTCTTTAATGGATTTAACTAAGACAGGTAGGCAACTTTTTCTATAAAGGGCCAGACAGAAAATATTTTAGGCTTTGCAGGCCATATGGTCTCTGTTGCAGCTGTTCAACTCTACAGTTGTAGTAGGAAAGCAGCCACGTAGTACATAAACAAATGTTTTGATGGTGAAATGGAAATGAAACTTCATTTACAAAAGCAGGCATTAGGTTATAGTTTGGGACACCCTGGCCTAAGACAGGATTTTTTAAGGTAGTACTTCAGGGGTTTTTAACAGAACATTGTATTTCTTAAGATTTAGTAAATTATATTGTTGATGCCTATTATGGTAAGATTATAACTTTGAACTGTCATACTTGGATACAATTAACCTTGTATTTTAATTCATCCTAGATTATTCCATGTGACCAATTATAAAAGTCATTTTAAAGAAGAAATTTTGCTAGATTTCAGGTATAGATTTCTGAGAAGAGGCAAAAAAAGAAAATGTTTACAACTACATTTTCTTGTTTTAACTGACAGATATAACCTAGCTTGGTGCTTTCCTCCCCTGCAGTATTTGTATTTTAATCTCTTTCTCATAATTTTTTAGGGATCCAGATTAGATGATCAAAGATGTGCTCCACCACCTGCCACCACAAAGGGTCCAACAGTACCAGATGAAGACTTTTTTAGCCTTATTTTACGCTCTCAGGCAAAAAGAATGGATGAACAGAGAGTTCTTTTACAAAGAGATCAAAACAGAGACACTGAATTTGGGCTAAAGGACCTTTTGCAAAGCAATGCTTTGTTGGAATTTAAAAATTCAGGAAAAAATCAGCAAACCACTAGTTAACTATTTGTACATATGTATATTTTTTTTTAGATGAAGTCTTGCTCTGTCACCCAGGCTGGAGTACAGTGGTACAGTCATACCTAGTTCACTGCAGCCTCAGACTCTTGGGTTCACGCAATCCTCCTGCCTCAGCCTCCCGAGTAGCTAGGACTACAAGTGTGTGCCACCATGCTCAGCTAATTTTTTTCTTTTTTATAGAGGCGGGGTGTTGCTAAGCTGCCCAGGCTGGTCTCAAACTCTTGGCCTCAAGCAGTCCTCCCACCTCGGCCTCCCAAAGTGCTGGGATTACAGGCGTGAGCCACTGCTCCCAACCACTATGGATATTTTTAAAGAAAAGACCTTATTTCCTTTCAGAACACTGCAGGGAAATTCAATCTATTTTTTCCTTAAAAGGAGAATTTATAGCACTATAATACAGCTTAAAATGTTTTTAGAGTGATGTAAATATTTAACCTTCGGTAGTATAGCATTTCAGAATAACATTTCTCTGGACACTCACTTGTTTCAGGGTGGAAGTGTCCTGTAAGGTGCTTCATCATCTTCTGCGATTACTGCTTGGGATGTGTTCCTTGGCAACTTGGTAGATTCCTTTACTTGGTGTTTGTAAAGTAGGAAATTAAATGGATCCTAACATAAGGATTTAATCCTCTTGCTATTATTTTTTAAAAATCTTGACAATGGCTCTTCTTTTACTACTTAACCATGAATGTAGTGGGGAATTATGCTGTTTGTTTAGTAAAAATAATGTACTTGACCAATGTAAAAAACTTACATAAAATAGTCTTATTAAAAAATCTAGATTTTTTTTTTCTCTGAACATCCACTTTTAATATATTTTTAGGCCAAAGCCAGTATAAAAGAAACTCTTAAGAAATAAACTTTTAGCAGTTTATTTGGGCTATTTGTTAAAAATTATGGTTTAAAATGGTCTCTTCTGTTGCATACTACCACTGTAAAACAAATTTTTATAGGACCTAATGTTAAAAAAAAAAACCCACATACAAAAAAATCCATGTGATTAAGAATTCAGGCCATGTAAATTGAAAACTCACAAAAATTAATTAGGACCTTAGCTGTCATTAAGCTTTGCCCTCTTTATCCGAAATACTGATGGCAGTTTACAAGACGATGATAGGAGATGATAAAGTAACTAACTGTAGCAAAAGAAAGACAACAAAGATGGGACAGAGCAGGGCCTGGATTAAGACAATTACACAATGCAAATGCCCACTCCTGGAACAAGTTGGCAACTCATTCAAATCTGGTTGCTTCTGATTCTGCACAGCTGGGAGGGGATCTGAGACTCTGGGCCTCTGATCTTTAAAAAAAGTCATTCAGGTGATTTTGATGGGCAGTCAGAGTCTGAAATTATATTAAGGACTCAGCGAAAAAGAAAGAAAAGCATTATTCTTTAAGATCAAAGCATTAAGTTAAAAAGAAAGTATTAAGTCAAAACCTAGATTACATTATGTTTCATATATGTTATATATAAGGTATAATGTCCCAAGGTAATGTCATTTAAAAAACTACAGATTAAGTTTCATGGAGCTTTTTCTTATAAGAAAATTCAACAAGCAAAGGTGACATACCAAATCACAATAATGTAAAAATATTTTTATTTTGTGTATACAGTGGTTCTTAGACCCTGTAAACATTCAACATTATCTATTCCATTTAAAAACTGCTTTTAACAGCTGTCTCTGTCTTAACTGCTTTCTCATTTTCCTAAAAACTTCTCACTGTAAGCCTTAATTTTAATGACAAATATTGGCTAGTCAATAAACAAGCCTTATCACTTTTCTGGTAATCAACTGGCCTTGATAACTTCAATTTGCTTTAATAAAGTCTTCCCTGAATTGCTGTCATCATTCAACAACAGTATCATGTTGCTTTGCTAGCTGTCAAAGTAGATTTCATCCCCAAACGGATATCTGTAATGAAAGAATGCAAAGATGAAATTTTATTTACAAATTTTAAAAAAGAAGTCATTTTTGGATTGACTAAAAGCAGTCAGGAGTGCAAGCAGCATTAATTCTAGTCTCACAGTACAGTCTATCACCTGAGACTTTGTTTCTCTTCAGAATCAGATCACAACTCAGAGGACAACTCCCACTTTGGGAGCACATTCACCAATCAGTGTGAACTAGTCCCCAGAGAGGACTACTTTACATACATCGATGTTCACAAATCTAAACTGAAGGCATCCTGTCATTAATTCATTTGTTATATGCCTGCTGTGTTAAAAAAAAATCTTCATATAAAATCCTATGTATTTTTTGCAAAGAATGATTGATTACCTTTCTGATGAGATGCTATAGATGTTTGTAATATTAAACTAGAATATTAACATGTAAAATTAAATTGTTACAGGCACCTAAGTAACACTTCTGGGAGCCAAAAATGGGTATTCTGCATTTAAAAAAAAAAAAGCAAAACAAATGTTTTGAATATGTTTTCTGAAACAAATGCCTGTGTGAAAATTTTAAGAATTTATTCCTGACTGTGGCTTCACTTTTAGTAAGCAGCTGAACGTAGCTTCTAATGTGAATATGGTTAAAACAAAGGACATATGATGTATGTGAAATCTGCTAGCTAGGGACATGTGCAAAATTTATAAATTGCTTTTTAAAAAAGTTCGAATCTTTTTTTTTTGGAGACA